ATCCTTTTTTCTGATACAGACTCTTAGAAGGAGGGGAAAACTGAAACTCGACTCTGCTTTCTTCATTTCAAGAAGGAAGTCTTGGGAAATGTTGAGATTTTCTTGTGACTCTTTGACAGGATATTTCCCTCCTAAAAACCTGTGGAGGCTTTTCTCCTTTTATTTATTATTTTTCTTCAATGTCAATTTTTTTTTTTTCTATTGTGCTTTAGGTGCAAGTTTACAGAGCAGTTAGTTTTACGTTCAACGTTTTGTGTACATTTAGTTTCACTCCCCATTTACCATCTCCAGCCGTAACCCAGTCTCCTTCCCTCCCTGCCCAGTAACCCACCCATGCCCGTGCTTCTCATGGTTATGCACTCCTGTGTGCTCTGCATTTCCTCCGTGTGAATGTTGCCCCTCTGGTGCCACATGGTCGATTGCTCCAAGGGATGCATTTCCATTGAGTATGTGGGTGCGTCACCCTGGGTTGAGTGGTCTGCATGTACATCTTGTTTACTATTGGGCTAAGAGCCAGCCCCTGGGAGTGAGTTTTATTTCAGGCTCAGAATGTATCCCAGGGCCATAGTCTTGGAGGGTCTCACCAGACTCCATCCGACCAGTAATTCTGGCCATTATTGAGATTTTGGATTTTGTTCTGCGTTTTTCCTCCTGCTCTATCCAGGATCTCTAGATTTGATCCTTTCCTGAGTGGTTGGCATTGGTAGCCGGGCACCATCTAGTGCTTCTGGTCTCGAAGACCATCATGTTCTAGGGCTGATTACTTCCAAATGCCCTTGATTTTTGCATTCTTCTTCACTTCCGATGATAGGAGACCATTAGCTGCATCTTAGATGGCTGCTTGAAAGCTTTTAAGACCCCAGCCACTACTCACCAATGTAGGATGAGGAACAAGACTTTTATGTATTTTTGTTGTGTCCCTTGAGTCTGATGTCCCTCAGTATTTTCTCCTGTTACCAGGAGGCAGATTAAGCTCATGAAAGCCTTTCAATTTAGGCAAATTATATGGTGTGCATTGTATGTAATTTTTTTTTTCTTAATGAATTTTATTGAAATATTTTATATAAAGTGAAATACACAAAACTAAGGTGACATGGGTCAATGGTATGTAATTTCTAAGGGATGTAAATTTTCTTTGTTTTCTAGTTAGGAATTGTCTTTTCTGTTGCAAATCTTTATGGGACAGGCGGGTGTTGGTGATCCCTGCTTGACAGAGCTGTGGGATCTGTTAAGGAGTTAGTTTTTCAGGAGAGAATCCTCTTAATGTCTGGATGGCATTTTTTCGTATTTCATGGGAAAGCTTATCAGCATCCCTAGATTGTCATAGATTGTTGGAAACACGAGTCTTAGGTGTTTATTTTGTTTGCATATATCAAAATCATGTCCAAGAGAAAGCTCAGAAGCTGTTATGTAAGAAATTTCCACAAGTTGGAGGTTTATAATTTATCCTTTTCCAGCCTTTTCATTCACACTTGAAAAGTAATCAAGTCCTTCTTTGTTTTAGGGGTAATGGTAGTGCAAGTAGTGTAGAGATTTTTACCTGACTTTGAGGTGATGTAACACTTGGGCTGGAGGTTTATCTTATGAATGGAATTTTACATAGGCTAGTATTTTCCAATTGTATTTCAGTTGATGGAGGCAGAAAGTCATCCTGAAATGTGCCAGTGAGCTGAGGAGTAAAGTCTAAGAATAGATATTTGTGTTTAAAATTCATGTGTGGATAATTGGTAAATGATAATTCCTATCATTTTATTATATATATATATATATTTTGTTGTTGTTGTTGTTATGTGCTGTCGAGTCAGCCCTGACTCATAGCGACCCCTCCTTGGGTTTCCGAGGCAGTATCACTACGGAAGTAGGATTGCCCAACCTTCCTTCC